AAGGTCTTATAAATGATAAAGGAGTTAATGCATTATCTTGTTCATTAAAATATGATGACTCATTAAGTATATAATTTGAGAACATTTTTGGCATGTTCAATCAAAAATTTGAGAAGACAATTAATGCATTATATTATGCATTAAAATATGATGACTACTTGAAAGTATGTAGTTTGATGACTTCAGGAATATTATTTGAGCATTGGCCAATCTAAAAGGCATACCATAAATTCATAGTATCTAATCTCATGTCAAATTTTGTCTTTGCATTATCAGTGTCATTCACCTCCACTTAATGATCATCGGATCTTAAATCAATTTTAGAAAATACTGAAGCTCGCCCTAATTGATCAAACAAATCATCAATCATTGGAGAAATACTTATTCTTAATAAGCACCTTATTCAATTCTTTATAGTTATACCCAATCTCATGTTACCATCTTTCTTCTTAATAAATAAAATAGGGGCACTCCAATGAGATGTAGTAAGTCTAATGAAACATTCTTAATCAATTTCCATAACTAACTCTTTAGCTCTTGTAGCTCCTTATTAGTTTATTCAATATGTTGACAATTGTTGTATTGTCAAGCTAAATATTATTTGCAAATTCCTCTTCTTTTTGGCGGCAACACAAAAAAATTTCTCAAACCATAAAAAATCAATATGTTTATTCACCGCAAGGATAGTACTCGCATCATCAGCTGCATCACTAATGGCTTGCAATATAGCATAAAAAATCAATTCACTAGCTTTCATTCATTCATTCACCTTAATATAGTTAATAGGATATGACATTATCGTATTGTTACACTGAAATTAAATGGTCTTATCATTAGGTAAGTCAAATCTTTCTATCTTCTTCCAACGCTTAATGGCTGCATAATATTTAATTGGCCAATTCATACTCAAAATTACATCAAACTTAATCAAAGATTGTAGAATGAAATCAAATATAAATGTTCTACCAGCTATCACAACATTAACAAAGCATAACGCTTTATGAAACATGCTATCAGATGCTGGTTACATAATACCGCTACCAAGAGAAAATAAGACATGTTTTAAATGCATTTTATCAAAGAACAACTCAAACCTGAAAGAGCGTGCAGTACCATAACAAAAAAAGTACCTTAGTGCTAAATTTTGAAATGCTAATTATACATTTCACAACCTGCAAAGGCTTCCTACTTCTTGAGAAGTTAAAGCAAATACTCGCATTGGTACTAGTCGTGCATTTTCTCTAGGTGGTTCTACCTTGCCCTTCACTAATTTCCATTACGAGACCTTTGCTTCTTGAGTTGACTATCTTCTCTATTGTCAACCAGCCTTTTTGTGTTATTGGGGTTTCATTTTTTTTCTTATTATGGTCATAACATGCTCTAGTAATCTTGCACTTCCCCTAAGGCCCTAACTCCGCAAATTCCGTAAGGAAAAGTGGAATCTAAGGCTATTTTAACTGATCCCTCAGCACTCACAATAATCTATAACATTTTTCTATTGGGATACAATAAATTGCAGAGAACATCTCCATAATGATGTAAATTCAACCTTATCTTGAACCACTGTCTTTGATCCTTGAATCAAACTTAAAACTCTCATGCATCACGTATCTTGCAGAAGGATGAACAAACCAATCTCTAAAAATTTTGCTTGAACTTATTGCAATTTATCAACTCTTTAGCTTTGCCTTCAAACTTCTTGAAATTTTAGTCTTTCCACTAATGCTTTGCCTTACCTTCCAGTGCGAATATTTTCAAGGACACATGTTTATCATGTAGACACTTCATGCCCCTCAAGTTTGTAATGTTGATGATTCAGTCCTCAAAACCTACTCCCTTGAACATGGGTTGCTTCAGTCTCTAAACAACTTCAAGTACTTGTCTATCTCCACACTGACACTAGCACTAGTACTGAGCATGTTCCAACATTGTATATTCATTTCAAAGGTGTCATCCCAACAATTCTTGGAGGAGCTTAGGCAAAGGCATTAAGGTTAGCAAGCCTCAAACAACTTCAATGAGGAGAGGTACATGTCGCTAGAAGTTCAAGATCATCTTAGAATGTGTTAATAAACTTCTCAAATTTTGAGCAACAAATGATCGGGAAACCCTAGAATGATGTGATTGCTGTAACCACTTTGATTGCTAATTATTATATTGGAAGTATTATCATTGACATAGGGAGTTTCGTGAATATTAATTTTAAATAGTATTTAACCAAATGAATCTACATTCTTATCAATTAGTGCCTTTGTTTGGTCTATTTATGTTTTCTCTGGTGCTATAGTCTCAACAAAAGATTGCATCTTTTTCATATGTATCATCATTTTCATCATCTATATATGTATCATGTTTTCAGTCATCATAGCTACAGGACTCTTAGAACTAGTGCAGTCTCTATTTTGGGTGTCCTACCTTCAATTGGTGCAACAATCTCATGTATTTCAAATGCCTTATTGGGTTAAATTTGTTGGCCATTTTTTCATTTAGGTACAAACACATGCTACCTACAATTCATGATCTTCTCATTTAATGTGCGAGTGTTAGTTAGGGTTTATGGGCTGGGTTCTAGTTAAAAAAATGAGACGATTTGTTTAAAACTGCTCAATATGAAGCTTGCTTTAAACTTTCTTTTATGAGGTTTGTGCCTCAGCTTGGTTGAGGCCCACCTTGAGGTGCGCCTACCCTCGTTGGCATGAGGCATATGCCTCACCTTATTTATATAATTTTTGTTAAACTTACCTAAATCCTAAACTAAAGCCCCAAACAAATCATGCATTCATGCATCCCTGAGTCACAACAACTTTCTCTCGTCCTCCTGCCCGCCGCCTTCGTTGCAACCGCCATCGTCATAGCGTCGCCGGAGATTGCTTTAAATCTGTACACCACCAACACCATCACCACATCTAAATTTTTTGGAATATTACTCTCATCTTTATGTTAATGACAAATATTTATGAAAGAGGAAGATGACTAAAATAAATGAAAAAGAAACAGATTGGAAGGTATTGGACTCTATAAGATTAGGCAGGGGAGAGACCAATTTGTGTTGGCGATGAGTTAAATAAAAAGACCCCCTCGGTGATGACAATGTAGATGATTTTTGAGTTATTGCCAACTATTTCAGCTTTCTTTATGAATGAGTAGGGAATTGAGAAAGAAGGAATTTGGAGTTGAACTTAATATTATATGATACTTTTATGCTATTCTTATATTTTATGTTGTTTTGATTGATTTCAGTTCTTTTTCATACAATTTATCACTTGACACTTTACTTCTTGAGCAATTTTTTTGTTTCATATGCATGCTAATTTATTACTACATAGTTCAATAGAAAGGTAATATATTATTCTTCAACATATTATTTGTGTATTATATAAAAAATCACTTCTAATATTTATTTACACTCTACACAATATTTGGGTGTTTATGAGAAATATATCAAGAAAAATGACAGATTACATCAATGTGAAGTCAAAAGAGATCGAGATAAGTGGATTACCATGCAAGTCATATTCCCTCATTCTTAGTTAGGGTTTTTTCACATGCAATCTCTTCCTCGTGCTATGAGGGGGTTGGGTGGGAGAAGAGTTTGTGATATATGCAACGTTCAGGGTGGTTGAATTAGCCGTAGTATTGAATGGTGCAGTTATTGGGAATTGAGTTTGCAAAAATAAATCACTTGATTTTGATGAGAAACAAGGAATATATGCTCAAGTATCGTGAGGTAATCATATGATTTTTTTATGTGATTTCTGACAGAATAAACCCTAATCTTGATTTAATTTTTGATGTTGGAAGCTTCTCCCTATCTTTGGGAAGTTTCGGGGTTCATGCGGAAGGTTCACTAAGCTTTTGCAAGTTTATAGAAGATTATAGAATTTGGATAATTCCTAGAAAATTCAAAAGCCTAATTGGCTTAGATTTGAGGGTGGAGATTCTCCTTGATCATTTGTTTCTTGTTTATAGAAGTCTGGATGATGGATGACAAGTTTATGGTGTAATCTATCAGGAAAACATATAATTTAATCTAAGGGCTAAAGAACCTTAATAAATGAGTCAGCTAAAGTAGTTGGGGATCTTGATTTTTAGAATCCAATCATTCATTCTGAAACATGCTTCTAATGGTTAATGATTCATTTCATTTGAGAAGTGCACTTCACAAGAAAGTCATGATCTAAAGCTTGCTGCTTGAACTTTTGGATGATACTTTCCTTGATTATATGCTCATTCAGTGAAGTCTTCGAAGATTGGTACTAGACGAGTTGAACTTTTGCTAAATATTGTTTTGATTTGGCAGTTTGTGTAATTAATTTTTAATTATTCCTTTCACTTATTTCCTGAAGGGCTTGGTTGGAGAAAACAAGGGTTTAAGTAAAAAAAAATGCTGTGAAAGTGAAATCATTGGTGTTTGGTTTGCACAAAACAGGGTGTAAATTTTACTGCATTTAGGTACCCCCAATTTCTTTACATTGCTTTGTAAATGCAGCCAAATTGCTTTACGTCATATGGGGATTCAGATGACTACAAAGGGATGGTGTCACAAAAAGTTTTCATTTGATCCTCCAAACAATCAACTTCAATTTGTAATCCCATTACATTACATTGCCTTCTCAAAAAGCAGGAAACGTGATTAAATGTATTTGATCTACCAAACAATCAGCCTCAATTTCTAATCCATTACATTTCCTTACATTGCCTTCTCAAAAAGCAGGAAACGTGATTTTAAATGTACCAAACAATCATTGCTTATCACTTACTTGATTAGAGAAGTGCAAATTTAAACACTACCATATTTAGTTTTCTGACTTCTTGTACAACTGAAGTCCCTCATGCAAGCACAATGTTCTAGTTGATTTATTCTCATTTCCTGCACTAGATGGTGTAACGTGCTTTAACCCGGGCATTCTATGCTCGTTGGTTTTCTTCCTTCATGATAACTTTTTGATGATGTTTGAACATTGTAATGATTATGTAGGAATTAACCAATTTTCTTTCAGCTGAAAGCTTTACGGGAATCAAGGAAGTATGCTATTGCTGGGGCGTTTCTTGGTGCAGTACATTTAGGTGGCATTTCCTTCAAATATTCTAAGAGTCCGCATGGTATTTCCCCTTTCCTTTGCTCATGGAGTTATTTATGACTTCTTTCTCCATTTTTAGATCATAAAAAGGGCTTTATGCATTTATTAAAGAAGAGAAGATGTCATAGTAGTACATTTACCAAGTTGCTTCTCTTAATCCTTCCGCTTAGGTTTTATGATATTGCTCTTATTCTTGTAGTTGTAGCTCCTAAAAGGCTAAAACCCTTGCTCTATTTTTTAAGGTCCTTTCAGTTCATACAGATGGCGCATTTTTACTGTTAAACTAATTAAAAACGTTTATACATATCCCAAAAAGCTTTGGTGATGATGTTAACACATTATCTGATTGCTGAATGGTAAATTAAGTTACTAATGGTACAAACATATCTTTTCTTGGAATCTTACCTTTGGAAAACATGATCCGACTTGTCATGAGCATAGCTATATTACATTCCATCTTACCTTTTGTTTGGAATTCTTCAACAGAAGATATGATATTTTCAACTGCTGCACTAAACATTTCCAGACTTCAATTATTTTGATCCATGCAACTATTGGCACACCATTCAAATGTTGAAATGAGATGTACATAATAAACCTCTCGATGATGCGGCACAAGCAACTTTGGGGGCTGTTTGGAAGCTGGATAAAAATGACAACTTCAAATCCTACTGAATCTTAAATCATGTTTCTCCCCCATTTTATCTTAAATACGAAATTTACTAAGTCTATGAATTTAACTTAAAATATGTCGCTCATGAACTTCTCTTTTCCTTGAAATGCTGCTTGTCCCCTCAATGCTGCCTCACAACTTTCTCACTTCTTTGTTGTTGAGTTTTGGGAATTTGGAGATGGGGATTAGTAGGTGAAAGATGGAAGGTTTCGGATTTAAAATTTCTTTAATATTACTGTTGTTAATTAAATAGTACATATCAATTAAAATTTTAATTAATCTTAATAATCTATATTAACTAACTAAAAATATTAGTTAACAAATAAATTTTATTTGTGATTTAATTTGATTAAATAAAATGTATTAGATTTAATTAATTTATAAATTGCTACTTAATGATTAATTATGATATTTTCACTAATTTGGATTTACAGGAATTACTAAATCCTAGTTGAAAATCCTACTTGCAGCCAAAAGCCCCTTTGTTTCTTTGGGACCCCTGATTAGGGTTGACTCAATGAAGATTTTGGGAATTTTATCAATATGTAAATACGAGACAGCTAGCTTTGAAGATGCATTTGCATAGTTGAAACCATTTATATTTGGGTTCATCTTAATACTGAAATCTTGCATTAGTTGATGGGCAAATAAAGCTCCATAAAGCAATTACTGGGAAGCACTTTCCCCATTGCATAGTGAGCTGCTTGAGCTAAGAATATTCCAGTTGTTTTACTTTTTACCATTGTATAGTGAGCTGCTTGAGCTATGAACATTGTGTAGTGTCTGCATTTTTTCCATAAAAAATTGTTATCCGTGTACTACAATTGTTAACAGTTAGTGCTGCAGGTGTTATATTGGCCACTGGGTTTGGAGCTCTTTGTGGTGGTGTGTTTGGGGCTGAAGTTGCTGAACATGTGAAGCAGCTCTATAAGGTGGATAAACAAGGTGCTAATCTCAGGTTTCTCTACTGGTGGGAAGACAAAACTAAAGGTGACTTCCCAACTGTTAACATTAAATTATTCAACTTCTTTTATTTGTAGTAGTTGGATCTGCCTTCGCTCAATCTTGGTCTGCATCCTACTGATTTGATTGAATCTCACTATTGTATGGCTTAGAAGAATCTTTTTTATTCAACCTTTTTTTCTTAGAAGGTCATGAACTTCTTGGCTTGTCATATTTCGAAAATGAGCACGTGGGAAGATTTGTGCAGAAAAAAAGTTCCTGTCATGGAATTCCTCGTAGAAATTAATGGTGGAAGTCCCAAAAAACCAATAAATGATTTTGTTGTGTTTCATGAACCTAGCATATGGCTAGTTATTGACATTCATTGTCCTATGAAAGAAAAAAAATTATGTATGTTCAATCTCCATGTTTGATGGAGGCTTGTTATTGAAATGCATAAATCTTGATTGAAAAAAAGAACTTGTAATTTCAAATTTTGATATCCCAAATGAAGTCTCAATTGTTGGAAAAATTATTCTGTGTGGATGTCGAACGCCTTCTGGAGATCAACCAGAATGCGTCACATCACCCCTTCGCTGTGTACCGCTGCTGTACCGGATTCGCATCCGGACATAGAGCTGCGTCTAGCGTCCGCACAAAATAATTTGCACAATTGTTGGTGCTATTTGTTCTCACATACACAGAAATTTGAATGCAAACAGAATCCTTTTTGAGGCCTTCGCCATTGAATCTTTTAAGTAACTGAATGTATGATTTTGCGTGCCGTTTGATAATTCTGATGTGAACTTGTAAGTTCAAAGATGTAATTATGTTCCCTTTGGTCCAGTATTGTCAAAGTGGTGTGCATACTGTGGCTCTAGCATTTCATTCATCTACTCAAATCTTCTTCAGAAAAATGTCATCACAGTTTATCTTTGCTTAAATAACAGGAAGTTCCCAGTAATTCTTGACTGGTTCCAGTGCTCTCGGCCGATGATGCCGTCACACCAAGCCAACTTCCATCAGCCATGTTTGGTTTTTTTATGAATAAACAGTTAATACTCCATCCTTTTTTACTGAACAATTGAGCTTCTTGTATGATTCTGAAGGCTCATATGTTACCTAGAAATAAGATGGAAATGCACCATGTATTATGTTCATTTTAACTTGTGACCTTTGATTTTGAAGCTGGCAATTATGATGTTATTTTCTGCTGTTGTTTGGTAGTCAATGTAGAAGAAGCCACTATGTGGTGATTCTGCATCATGTATTTTTATGTTGTGCTCAGCCAATCCAAGGAAGAAATGTATATATTGTAAGCAGTGCTGGAATCAAAGAGTTAGGGGTGGCTCTGCTCTTTAGATTTAAAAGAGTAAAAAAGAATAAAATTTGTTTGGGATAGCTTTTGTGTTGCTTTATTAAACAACTCTTTATTATAAAAGTTTTTTGAATTAGAAAATTTTGTACTAAAAAATTGTTTTATAAAGCAGCAAGAAAGCTGTCCAAACGGAGCTTTAGGTTTTGTTTGAGACAACTTTTGGCCGCTGCTTTTTTTGATGATTTCAAGAAATTTGTGCGCTAAGAAGTTGCTTAGAAAACAATAAGAAAATGATCTCAAATGGAACCTCAAGCCTTCAATGCTTTCTTACCTTAATGATAGAATATATTTCTCTTAGCTGCAAGTTACAATTGTTGGATTCATTGTCTTTAAAATATTACAATTTTACTAAATTTAAGTAAATTAAATGAAATATTTACAGTTTTCTATGGATATTTTTTTATTGAAAATTTCATGTTGAAAGATATTTGAGAGATGTATAATTCTACTATTGCAAAGAGTTTGAAGTGTTTAAATATTTAAATTTTTTATATAATATTTTAGTATGGTTGAATGTAGCTCATGTTAGCCACACATCCACGTGGCATACTTTACATTCATTTCTTTTTGGGACATTTAGGTCATTTAAGGCAAACTCACACACACAACGCATACACAGAGACTTGAACTTTAGACCTCTTAGTTGGAAGCCTTAGCTCTCAATCAATAGGCCAAGGAGAGTTGTGTTACATTCATTTCTTGATGTACCGTTAGCTAGACATTGTAATTTCTTTACTTTAGCTTTTATAAATACACCCTTGTAACCAACAAACAATAGGAGGAAAAATATAATTCTCAGTTTTCCATTTCTCTGTTTTTGTCTCTGCTTTTAGCCGAAAGCCAATCCCAGGCTTACCCATTCAACATTGTATCAGAAGTCTAGGTACCTATCCCTACCCGTTCTTCCCTTCTTTCTCCGATGACTACTCCAGATGATCCACCATCGTCTGTCTACCCAGGCGGAATCCTCCACCGCCGAAAGTATTTTCTCATCTCCGCAAATCCCATCCTCCCTCAAATTCTTGCTGAGCAACATCAAAAACGTCATCTCCCAACAATTAACACCAGAAAATCACTCTATATGGAGATCCCAAGTCTAGTATGATTTTTTTGAATTTAATTAGTTTCTAGCTGAGTCAACGGGCACTTTACATGCAACATTGCTTAATTTGTCCTCTATTATAATGGAGGGACTTGCATGACATCGATGATTTGATCTTAGCCATCCAAACTTGGATCTTAAGACTATGATCAAATCCAAAACAATGAAGGGAGGGATGTATGAAATCACATATAACTCAATCATAGTCATTAATTCTAGTTAAATGGAATAGATGTTCGTGATTTCATCTTCTTCCTCTCAAGTGTCTTAGATTGGTTCTATGGGTTAAAGGACAACTATAGAGGCTATTCTAGGCTTTGGGTGCACTTGTGTGGTTCGATCATGGGTGGTGTCACACCCTGGGATTTAAAGTGAAAGAATTTTCGTATTCTCTTTCACTCCATTTATCTTTTTCAATTCATTATCTTCATCATTCTTTTACAACCAGATAATCTGATATTTAGAACAAATTAATTGCATTAATGAAATCCGATCCTAATAAATAATAAAAACATAATTAAAAAGAATACATATAATTAGAAAAAATAAGTTAAAGCATAATACTGCCTAGCCTCATGCTGTAATGTTCTTCACCTGAAATAATGTAAAATCACATAATGAGCTTGGAAGCCCAACAACTAAGCTCTTAAAATTGAAAATAATGCAAAGCAAATAGAGAAATAGCATGCTTATAACTAGGTGATATTGATAAGTTTTGATATGAAAAATATATGTTGGAAGATATAAGGGGCTAGAGTTTTTTGTGATTATGTCTGTGACCAGGAATATTTTAGTGCCTATAAAGCATAATTTGATGGCTAAAAGTCGTGTTCTGGTGACAAATATATCATATTTTGATGCTTATGAATATGTTCTGGTGCCATAAGCACAAATGAAGTTATAAGGGGTCAAAATTCTTTGAAATTCTATTTAGGGTCAAAAAATTTTGATATGAACTACTCTATGATATAAATTTTTATTTATTTATTTGCTCAATATTTTTATTTAAATAATTATATACATGCGATACTCTTATTACTTTGCTCGGTACATTGATTTATTATACTACATTGCACAACTTTTAAATATTCTAAAAAAGATTAATAAAAGAAATATTTGGAAAATAAGATTGGTGTTTGCAGTTTGCTGAGCTGTTTGAGCTCTATGTAATTTTGTTTTTGATTTTTAGGATATGAGAAATGGAACGAGTCGATAGATATGCAGTTTTAGGATTTGATCTAAGTTTATTAATATTTCTCTGTTTTGATTTTGTACAGTCATGGCAGCTATTTATGTTTTACTCTGCTTTTTGTTAAGTAGCAAAGTATTGTAGTATATATATTGTAGTTACATTTTGATGAAATAAAAAAAATTAATGTGGATGAATTTATTTATAATACTCTAGATGTTTATAGCAGCTCTGAATTCTATAGTTTATTTTAAAGTTTAAATTTGAAGATGAAATATGAAGCATTTCGAAAACTAAATATTGGGATTTGTTTGTCACAACCCAACATGATAAGAATTCTGTTGGATTGGGTTATGACATGATATTTAAATTTATATCATATGATCAAGTTTGAACATAGATAAATCTAACATTAAATCTCCTCACACATTGGACCCAATAAGGGTTTTTAAACCAAATCACTAAGTGGATTAGACAAACCATTTCCATATAATTTTAATCATTATGCCATAAATGAATTGACCCCAACTGACCATTGGACTAAGTTAGTACCACTTGAATCCTAATTTATCCCATTTAGTAACAATTAGGTCAATTAGATCAAAACCCAATGATTAAAGAAAGTAATATTGTCCAATCGGCCCCAATAGTTTTAAAATAACTCAATAAAGTTAAATAAACTCTTGGACAAACTAAATTGGAACTTTATGACCTAAGTTAGCACAAATAAAATTATTTAACCCAATTAGATCTTAGTCTTGAAGCTATCCAAATTGATTGAAATTGAGGTTGCAAACTAATTGACTTGGCTCCAACTAGCCTTTGATTTGGCCAATTGGCTTGCTTAGCCCAAGTTTATCCATTTAAACCCCCTAAGACATTTTGGCCAATTTGAACAAATTAAGCCAAGACAACCAATTGATTAACCATAGCTAACTTAACATAAATTGGCCCTTAATTGAGCCCAATTTAGCTAATTATTTTATTAACTCAATTATACCATTTATAGCAAATTGACCAAATTAGTCAAATTAAATTTAACTTAAAATTTCTATTTAACCTAAATGGACTCAATATACATGAAATATACCCATTTGCCTAGGGCTGCAAGCGAACCAAACGTTCGACGAGCTACTCGTTGTTCGGTTCGATTAAAGCTTGTTTGTGATCGTTTAATTAACTAAACAAATAAACTTGAACAATATTTTAAAAACTCGATTCTTAAATAAACAAATTTGAACACTAATGCGTTCAGCTCATTTATGTTCGCGAACAACATCATTTGAAGTTCGTGAACAAGCTCGACATTAAGCTCGATAAGAAGCTCGATTCGTGTTCGATTTTGAACTCGTGAATATGCTCGATAAAAATAATTAATATTTGACTATAAAATTAATAAATATAAATAATCATTGTCTTTGTTACATAGACAATTGCTTTTATTATTAATAAGTTTGTTCATAGATATGTTCATGAACGTGTTTGCTTGATAGTTAAAAAAAGTTCGTTAAATATGTTCGCGAACAAGCTCGATAAGCACTAAACGAACAAACATGAACTGAACATGAACCGAACATGAACACTCATAAATTTAAATGAACCAAACATGAACACAAACAATAAAGCTCGAACAAACATGAACTAAACTTGAACAAGCTGATATTAAATGAACACAAACATGAACACTCACATACTCGGCTCAGCTCGGTTCATTTGCAGCCCTACTTGATTTGCCCCATGATTAGGCCAATTGAACCCAATTGACCCAACTTAGCCCAATTGGACCCCTTAAGGACCTACTTAGCTAATTTGAGCAAAATTCCTCAAATTGATTGAGCCAAACCTCTTGGATGACCAAGATTGCTTTGCATAAAATTGACCAGCCAATAGTTTTTATTAAGATAAATTAGATCTATGCATTCTCTAAATTATTTTGGAAGACACAAATATCAAATTTTTTATCTATTAAAAATTACGTTTGCATGGGACGGCTTTCTTACTACTTAAAATAGCTTTATAGTACAAAAGTTTTAAATTTTGTACTAAAAAGCTGCTTCAGGAAACAGTAAAAAAGTTGTCCCAAATAAAGCTTAACTTTATTGGACTCGTGGTGTCAAAAGCTTAAAAATGATTTCCTCCACACCTGATCAAAGACATCATTGATTAGAGTCACAACATCCCTAACCATAGGCTGATCCCCTTAGGCTAACAAACTTGGCCCTAGAGAGAGCCTATTAAGCTGTCCCAAGCGTAGGATCTCCAATCATTTTCTAAAATAATAAGTGAGTGATTTAGGATATTTAATTCAAGGCCCACTAATATGATAAATTCATACACGAATAGTGAAAACTAACATCTAAAAGACTATAAATAATTCATATATATTTGCATAATCTAGACTACTTTCAGTAGGAGAGAGAACCCAAATTATCTCTAATTCTCAACATATATGAATTTATTTTCCAGTTTGGTCATCAATCTTCTTCTTTAGCAAGGGAATGATCTCCCCAAAAATGCCTTCCCATGCATAACTTTTGACATTCAACAT